ACTTCGGGAGATATTCGTCAATCAGAGATGACCTAGCCAAGTCAAGTAATGTGCGATTTGATTTTTCTGACGCTACATTTTCTGGGGCGTGTACGCACAGCTGAAGCTCTGAGTAGCTCCAATCTCATCCGGAAGTGCTTCAACTCTAGCATTCTTAGATTCGCCTCCTTGGCCCGAATGGAAATTCTTCTTATCAAAACCATTGTGATAACGGAACCATGCGAGATGATGTCATAGCGCGTCTACAGCCTCGCTTTTGGTCTTTGGGGAGTATGTTTCCCTGTAGCGGCTGTATTCGTCGAGAATGCACATGAAATGCTTAGATTCTCCGAGAGTCACCTCAGATGGAGAGCAAAGGTCACTAGGGAGATAGCCTTTCTGACCTTCCTTCCTCAATTCTGTCAGATCACCGATTCAACATACCCTGGGTATTTTGTGAGTCCATACGCTCTTCACACCTTCCGGGACGCACAGCACCGTCACTGCCTGAGGGTGTCAGCAGAGCAACCGAGGTAGACCCTCAGAACACCGAGATTTTCGTGGATCCGTCAAAGATTCACTCCGCGGCCGCTACAGTCATTCCCAATCGTTCGGAACCACCGGCGGCGGCAGAGACGACTACGACAGCTCCTCTGATCAGCACCGCGTCATCATCAACGACACTGTCTGTAAACACAGTGCGTGGTCCGACTGGCGGCGCAGCGGACTCAGAATCCTCTCCGAGCGAGTCCGCGCGGAACTCTCTAGCAATTATTTCGGTTCCCGATGGAAGAAGTTCTTCGTCAACGACCAAGCTTCCCCGGTGGGACGTGTTCGATCTGGTAAAGTTCGATTCATCCTCCGAGCTGCCATTACAGTTTTTCCGGTGTCGATCGGTCGCAGCAGGAGAGGTCTGCCAATCTCCATCAGAGCGCCTCTGCTTACCGCGGCCGGCTTCTAATTCTTCGCACAATCGCAGACACACAGGAAGCGTGAAAGCAATGGAAATTAGCCCGAGTTTTGAAGGGCTCAGCTCTTAGAAGCCGAAATCGGTCCAATCAAGGAGTTTGTGGGTCGTGAAGGATATTTGGCCGTTTTTTCCGAGCTCGGACGTTGAGTTATCAGCAAGACTCGAACGATGAGAAAGCACAAACGATGATCACCACAATAGAAGAACACAACAGACGTGAAGTAAACCCAAACGGGAATTCTCCTCGAGTGATGGAGCCCTGTATTGAACTGGCTTGTACACTAGCTAATACACGTAGTCAGAGAGGGTCAGTCTGTACAAGCTATCTAGTGTGCGCTTCCGACATAATCGAATGCGTTTGGAAAGGACCACGGGAAGCGGGTCGTAGGTTACGTACATGGCCAATTCTTGATGACCTCCTTCTATGGGATTGGGAAACTATGAACCAGTCGAATTAGACTGGAAATAGTGCCGGCATCACACTCGAAGACTCTGGGACCGAAGATGAAGACGCTCAAAGGGCAGGACTCCCTTGTCATCGATTGTGGCTCGGAACATCGGATCCTGGGGGTTTGATTGTTCAGCTGGTCATGGAACTTTGCGCCGCCCCTATAGTATTCGAGGACAGCACGATCCGGGTCGTGCCAGAGCTGTTCCTGCAGCTTTACACGCTGCACGCATTTAACCACGGCCGAATGATCCCGATATTCCGTATATCCCATATTTCCTCCTTCCGAACAAGCAGAAAGAGACATATAGTCGGATGTTCTTCCTGCGGAACGATTGTGCCCAGTCGATCGACGTGGTCTTCAACCCACCAGGTTTCCAGCTGGACTCCGAAGTCTCAATGCTGAGATCCATAGCGGTACCCTCCCCCTCAAGCAATGTGAGAGTCTGGGCTTCTTCTCTCAGTCAGTGCCTCTGCCGGAAAGTTCAAGACTTAGGTACCTGTCGATACTATGACGACCCTCTTGCGAAAAAGTTCATTCGATGCGCCGGTGCCTTAGCTCTGATGCCTTTGACGCAGATTGATAGCGCATGGCTGGAAATTGACACCGAGTCGTCTCCGAGCGATCACGCAGCCTACGTTGCTCCTGAGGAGTTCGAAAAATACTTCATAAACACATGGCACGAAATAGGAGCGGTCTTTCCGCGCCATATTTGGAACCATTTCAGTAACTTCGGCGCTCGCACCGTGAATCACCTCGAAGGCTGGCACCCGGCCTTGAAGCGCGGTCTCGGTCGGCACTCATGTCAATATTCTCGAGATGGTCAGCCATCTGCGGAAGATCGAGAAAGACTTCAAGACGCAAATGCTGCTTCTAAGTATGGGAAGAGCGCCGAAACTAGCGAAGAATGAATACACGCGGGTGAACGAGCGCCTGATGAGTCTAGTCGCTCAGTACGAGTCGAATCAAATCACGCTGGTCGAATACGGCCAGAATGTGGGTTTCAATCTCAAATCCTGATTTGCTTGCTTGTCGTGATCCATGATACGTATCAGGGTCGATACGCACATGTCCTCTGTTTCGGTCAAACTGCTTCGGTCAAGCGGATTCGGTCAAGCGGATCCGGTCATACGGGTAGCCCGGGGTTGTTTCTGCCTTGATTGCTGCGTTTCTGATCCGATTGGGATGATTCTAATTCAAACGGTTTTGATTGAAAGGTTCATGCGAGAAACTCCGCTGATGATTTCTTCGGTTGGGAAGATCATAATTTTTCATTTGAGGGTTGAAACGAGCTTGACAATGGCCAATCAGTGGTATTGCATGACCTCCTTGAAGATGAGCTGCTTCCATTCGTCTATCGAGAGTTCCTGCTCGTCGATGCTGTGATCGTAGCGTTTGGGTGCGGGGCCGTTGACCTCTTCTTCTTCGTACCTGTTGTGCGAAGTCCGAATCAGATGCTGAAGTTTTCATAGATTCATTCAGCCGTGTTCCGAACATACCTACATTCTGAGTATGTCCCTTGTTGTCCCAGTATTCCTCTCAATCAGTTAATTACTATTATCGGTGACTCACCATATGTTGATGTAGGGGTGAAGTAGAGCTTCATCGATGCTGATTCGTTGCTCGGGATCGATCACGAGCATCTTCGAGAGAAGATCCCGAGCATGGCTGGATCTCTGACGACCCTCTGGCGACTGATCCAAGAAGAATCCGTCGGGGAACAGCTCGTCCATGCTGTAGCCTTTCTGGAACTCCTTCGCCTCCACGTACATCCGAACATTGTCTTCTAACCGAGCTCGGAAGTCTTCTGAAGGCGTCCCCAGCGAAGCCATTATGATGTCCCATTGATCGATGTGATCCCGACCCGGGAATAATACGGCACCTCGGATCATCTCGCCCATGATACAGCCAACGGACCAGATGTCAACATTCTCCTTGTAACCCATTCCCAGGATGATTTCGGGAGCTCGGTAATAACGAGTGACGACGTAGGGAGTCATGAGGAAGCTCCCCTTTCCCGTCGTCCTCGCGAGACCGAAGTCAAGGATTTTGAGTTTGCACTCCCGGCTCACTACCATGTTCGACGGCTTCAGATCACGGTGGATGATGCCCGCAGAGTGCAGATGCTTCACGCCGCAGAGCATCTGGTAGATCAGAAAGGACATCCTGTCATGATCAAGGTCAATCTTGATAACTTGACTCAAGTCGGCTTCTCGGAGTTCCATGACGAGATACACATCATCGAAATCCGCGACGTTGTTCTGTGGTGTGAACGCGTTCAAAAGACCTGCGGAAAGGGGAAAGGGTCATTCCTCAGACTCATCTCGCGGAACCCTCACCTAGAGTCCCCGGGAGGGTCCAAACAATAACGAGTCTCAGTGACCATGCTTTTTGCAAGAATCGAGCTCAACCCATTGGTGGTTTCACGACCGATGTCCACTGATAGATCGTAGACAATGAAACGCCTTCTCACCGATAACGTTCTCGTGTGACACCAGTCGCATGAGCTTGATTTCGCGGTAAGCTCGTTTTGCAAGAGTTCGGTTTCGGAACGGTCCGGAGAGTTTCTTTATCGCGACTTTCCTCGATGCTTCGACATCGAATGCTTTGCTGAAAAAATGAGGTATATCATTGACAGGGTCTTCCCGGATCGGCATCGACGAGGGACGACCGCACGTTCCCGCATGGTGTCCATGTTGATCCGTCAACATATCAAAAGTCCCGCAAGCTTAGCTCAGAGTGGGACTCCGTCCGAAACGAAGGAAGTCGGACAAACTCCACTCACCAGACGATCCCTTGGGCGCCGGCGCCGATAGGTCGTAAATCCTGATATCGCTCAAGAACCGTAAACGTGGTGTCTCCAAGCTCAACTTCATAGAAGCGAGAATTATTCTTGTCAGAGTTTATAGGCTTCCCATTGTTGTTGTTCGCATTGCCCTGGAACAGTTGCGATGCATTAATGAATATCCTGACCCACTTTGGGCGTCATGGAATAGTGGCAGAGCACTGCTGTTCACGATACGTCGCGAGATCAACATGACGATAATCTGAGCCAGGCATTTGTCCTGCTCAGTTAAGCTTAAGCAAGTCAGGATATGCCAGGCGAATAAAATAATCGAGCGCTTTCGGAGTGCGCGGGGGCCCCCATCTGATGGACCTCTGGACACATGCTTCGAGTTATACCCCGCGTCCTGCGAGGAGCACACCTGGGGACCACGCAGATCCGAGACGCATTCTTACGTTGTTGAAGTAGACATTGCTCAAGGCCTTCTTCGGGCTTTGCGACGGGGAGGTGAACAGGACCTCCTGCGGAGTCATCTTGTCGGGAATTGAGATCGGTCGCTCCTGCGGAGGGAATGGAGGATCCGCGTCAGAGGCCGCTCCTTCGCGATATATCGAACCCTTCTGCCTACCTATTTGCTGTATGGGAATGGGTACCCAAGAGGCTTCTTGGTAATCACCGTGAAGGCGGTTCAATCCTGGTTGCGCGGGAAGGTCCCGTTCATGACGAATCTTCCGTATTACGAACCTCGTGAGGAACTAATCTTCCGTATAAGAAACCCCTCGCGTGAAAAGATCCTCCCGTACGGCGGAGCCCCTGGTACCAGTAACTCCCCCGTAACGGGAGGTGCGTTTCACGCGAGGGGTTTCTTTTATGGAAGGTTCATCTCGCGATTTTACTCGCTGGATTGTACGCTACTTCCCGCTCTCACTTTCTTGGTCCTCACCAAATGCAGTCGTGATTCTTTTTCGTGAGTGATAGAATCTCACAGAATAAGATTTTCGAAGAGCTTGTAGTGCTGATTACGTTTGAGACCTGGATTTCCCGATCGCAGGTTCTGGGGGAAACTTTGCTTGGATTCAATTCAAGGGCTCCGATCAGACATTCGAACGCAGAGTAGCCTGGG